AAAGAATATAGATTATTCAGATATCGATTCCTGAACTGTTAACATCTAACTGACGACCATTCATTATTTATCACAAGAATCGATTAAGAAATAAGGAAAGAAAACTCATTGAAATACTTTTTTTCTGGGAATTCTATTTTGTACCAAAATATATAAAGTTGAATAAAGCCGCCAATAATAATAATAACTAACATCTCTTTATGTGTTATCAGAAAAAAACTTTATTAACTAGACAAGAACAATCTATAATTCGTTTCTTTTTTACATTAATTTGACTTGAAATAATATAATTTCTATACTTAATATTAAGATACATTATACCTATAAAACCATAATGTCGTAAAATGTTTTATTTTTCTTTATCAAGCAACTGTACCAAATATATTTAAATCATTGTTTCCCCTAAGGAATTTACTCAAAAGTGAAAGGCAGGATTTTTTTTCCCTAGTTTAAATGATTTTGAGTAAGACGGAAAGCGATGTATGTCTTTCCTATCTCTCTCTCTCGCCCTTTCTCTCGCTTAATATGTGTGTTTGTATAGCTTGCAGTTCTTTTCCTAACACCAAATTTGTTATTCTTCAAAATCATTTCTTTTGCCCATTGAATAGTTATATGTATGAAACTAAATGTTCGATGTAATTTCAGTATTCAAATAATTCCTATGTAACAAAACAAAATTTTATTGATCAATTATTTGTCGTTATAGTTAACACCGACATTTAAGTGAATATAAATTAGTGTTTTATTGAATTGTCTTTTTTTTACATTTAATCAAAGATCTTCACTTTGCCTTGTATATCAGTTATTAAACTTGGATAGATCATTCTGTTTAATTCAATGATATAGAAGCTAAGGTACAAAATAATGAGCTTAGAGAGACATATAATTTTGAGCAGTTAAAATGAGAAGATTGAGTTCGAATATCTCATAACGAATTGATTTTCTTTAGCAATCTTAGTCCAATAAGATTATAAGTAAACAAAGATTTTAAAATATACCGGAGCTCTAAAATCCTTGAAGTTTTAACTAAATTATAGGTTAACAAAAGCTTATTCTAAATTATATTCAGATGGATAGATGTTTTCTGGTCGTGCACAGACCAAATCGCTACATCACGTGTCATCGTTGAAAAACCAATTGAATGGGATTCTTTACGATACATCAAATTTCTTAACTATAAGAAAGTGTTGTGTGGTGCATATAGGAGAACTTTATGGAACCTTCTTCGACACTATAAAGTACCTGAGAAGATAGTCAACATCATATGGAATTCATACTATGGACTACAATGCAATTAGGTGCATGGGGGACAACTGACATACGCGTTTCAAGTGAGGACCAGTATCAGACAAGATTGACTTCTCTCTCTGTTCCTCCTCCTTCTGGTGGCTGACTGGATTATGAAGACCTCCACATCTGACAGGAAGCTCGGAATACAATAGACAGCTTATATGCAACTAGATGATTTGGACTTCACGGATGGTCTAGTCTGTCTATCCCATACACACCAACAAATGCAGGTCAAGACAACCAGTGGAGCGTAAGCCTCAGAAGTAGTAGGCCTCAACATACACAACGGAAAAAGCGAGATCCTCAAATATAGCGAAGAGAATACCAACGAACACAATCACACTTGATGGAGAAACTTTGGAAGAGGTGGGAATATTCACGCACCTAGTCAGCATAATCGATGAACAAGAAGGGTCTGATGAAGACCTAAAGCCAAGGATTGGCAAAGTAAGGACAGCATTCCTACAATTGAAGAACATACGGAACCCAAAATAACTGTCTGCAAACCAACATCAATGTCATAATCTTTAATACGATCGTCAACACAGTTCTACTGTATGGAGCTGAAACTTGGAGAACTACTGCAACTATCGTCAAAACATTACAAGTATTTATAAACAATTGTCTACGCAAGATACTCCATATCCGTTGGTCAGATACCGTTAGCAACGACTTACTGTGGGAGAGAACAAACCAGCTTCCAACTAAAGAGGAAATTAGGAAAAGACGTTGGGGTGGATAGGGTATTCATTGAGGAAATCATCAAACTGAATCATGAATTATGCGCTAACTTGGAATCCCGAATAGAAATGGAAGGAGAAGGACAAAGAACACACTGCATCGTTAATTTAAAGCAGACATGAATAGGATGAATGGCAATTGGAAAGAACCGGGAATAATTGGCCAAGACAGAGTTGGATGGAGAATGATGGTGGGCAGCCTATGCTCCTCCACGAGGAACAACAAGCGTAAGTAAGTAAATATCTCAGATCTAAAAGTCATTATTAAGTTGGAGTCTCCTAACTCCAAAGCCCATTCTATAAAGGAACTAAACTGAAAAAGAGTGGAATAAATTGGCCGAGTAATAAAACGTTTGTGTCACACTGTTTCATTACTACAATTGCGCATACATGTTTAGTCAAACGTTATAATAACATCTCTTTGAGATGGGGGAGAAAATTAGTAGCTCAGGTGAATGACCTTGATGGAGTTTCGTCTTCCAATCTGGATGGTTTATTCGTTTAAACCATCCAGATCAGAAAATAATACTACACTAAAATAATATCTCTTTTTACTTCTGATAAAAGATCCTCTTCATAAAATTTCATAAAATAGCACTAACTAACGGTTGTTTAAATCCCGAAAACGTTGAAAATGACGATAAATATCTATCAAAAAATATGATTATTGTCAAGTTAATATTGACTTGCAAAAGATATCTAACAAAGCAATCAACTTGGACGACTTAGGTTTTATTCGACACTTATGATCATAATGTCCGTCACGATCACGGCAACGTTTTGCTGACTATTGCTAACTAGCTTGAGACTCAGGTTCAGAGTTTCTTGTAGACTACCTTTAACCGTTCAATACTTAACAAATGAAAATTAGTTGATACTGTTAATTCTTACTCTTAATACAAATGATTCAGTAGAAATGTTTCACAAGTTTCTATCTTCAGTCACGCCTCATTAATTTTTTTTAAAGATCATCTGTCTGTTAAATGTATTGCAATAATTGGACATAATAAAGTATTCGTGAACTGTAGTGAGTGAGTATATTGGACAATGAAAAATAATGTCTTTTATTCAGATGAGTAATTTTAATGAACATTAATATATCATTGTTTGCTTTCACTTGCAAAATAAGCATAAATTTGTTAGTTAGCTTACTGCACGTTCAATAAACTAAAGCATATGGGATAAAAGTTCCCACATATACATCATAAAGTAAGACATTTCTAACCAGTAGTTTTGTAGATTATCACTATTAATGTTCTCATTTTATTTTATTAACTAAACATTTCATTGACCTCAGGAAAGGTCATCTCTTAGCGGGATGTAAATCTAAAACATTAAAATAATTCAAATAATATTTTCGTCTATTAAAATATTTCTTTACGAAAATATAGTGATGATAACACTTTCAAAATTATTCACATCTCTATTAGCCATATATTTATAATGTTGCAGTCGAATATGTTTCCAAAAATCATAATTTACTACCATTAACGACTCTATCTCATAAACCAAAAGAAATTACATTTCGGATTTACTGAAGGTTGTTTAGACATAAGCTGATGTGTTTCAAATCGCGGCTATAATCAGGCATAATGTTAGTTCTGAAGTGTACCTTGAATCTCACTTTTCTGGCTCAACAATATGAAATCATTCACTTGTCAACTAAAATATTTATTGAGTAGAATAAAAAGCGTTTGACTTAAAGTTAAAAATATTAATGATTTTGAGAATTTGTGAGGATTATAGTATTTTCATAGTTGAATTCACGAATTGATCTAAGCTAGAACACTATTGAAAACCTAGAAGCACTGAACGGTCTTGTCGTCTTAATATGGGTCTTATCAGTAGTGTGCATCAACGATTCCATAAATGGGACTCGAACCCAGGACCTTCGGTCTCGCGTGTGGATGTTTAACCTCCAAACTACTGGGCTGACATCCAGCAGCGTGAGTGTCTAACTTCGATAGTTCTTGTGAGAAGCCGTGACCAACGGAGTTCAATCCGTGTCGGGTGTGAGACAGTTGTCCACTTCCAAAATAGATGAACGGCTGTGCAAGATCATGAATCGATTGGAGTTTTACACATCAACCGTTGAATGCCGGCTCAGTAATCTAGAGGTTAAGCAATCGCTCTCGAGACCGAAGGTCCTGGGCTGGAGTTTCAAGTACAGGATGAGCACTACCGAGCAGTCCCATACTGAGACGAAACAACCTTCTAGTGCTTCCAGGTCTTCAATGGTGGATTAGCTAAGATTGACTCGTGAATTAAACTTATATCGATTGATAAATGAAAAATGTTTCGTCACTGTACGATCCTTTTAAATTATTAAGAAAGCAAGCTTGAAAATTGTTCAGATAAACAATAAATTAATTAACATATTTAGAAAGCATCACCCAATTTAACCAACGAATTTAAAAACCAGTTTTGTTTCATTCAGTATGATATTATCAGACCTATATTACACACTTGCTACATGACTCATAAAAAATTCTGAAAATACAATTAAAACAAAAGTTTTAATAGTATCAGTGATGACAACAATATCCTGTATGGTCAAGTTAATAACCTCAGCGAAATATGGCATGACAGTATACAGTCATTTAACCGATCGGATCCAGGGCACTGATTTGCAGTCGACAAAGCCAACTGTTCAAAGTAAATACTGATTTGAATCCCCAATAGTTTCTGGAGTCAGCGAAACATGCGCGACCGAACAGCTATTAGATTCGACGTGTATCGTGAAATGCAGAATCTCATTGTATGTTTTCTATGTCCATTTGTCGTTACTAAAAATCTTGATCTTTGAACCGATTATAGAAGTCATATGGTTGAAAAATGAAGTTCATGCAAAAAATATATGTAATCTTTTATATTCTTGGCATTAAGTAGAATAATTTTAAGACTCATGTTTACAATAGTTAAAGTAAAATGCTAAGATTTACAAACCAAATGACAACATCATTAACTTACCAACTGAAGTGGAGAGGTTTTCTCTCTTGATGATTCCCAGAGAATTTGCTGCTGTTTTGCAGCCGATATCAAACCTTTTTCAGCAGCCCACCGAATAGATCGTGAATAATCGGGGCAAGATAATTGAGATTTGTTTTTGATCGCTTCACAAACAGGATTTAGGTGTTGAAATTCAGTTTTATGATTACCTAAGTGTGCATAAAGTGAACTTTCACCTAATTTGTGATTTGTGTCAACACGAATGTAATTTGAATTAGTCTGTAAATTCCTTTGTATTCCAGTTTGGTGATGAACTGAAGTGTTTGGATGGTTAGAAACAGCAGGAAAATATGTTCTTTGTAGGATATGTTGACTAGATGGTATAAAAGTTAAATTATTCAGTAGTTTATGGTCTCCTTGAACGTGAGGGTTAATTGATGTGTTTGTTGATCCAGAGCTTTTAGATAGTGTGGTTTGATATAATGGCTCTTGGAGTTTATTTACCTCGTTATTAGAGCCTTGTGAATAATGTGAATTGTGAGTTTCAGTTCTGAAATGATCGTTTAGTAATTTAAATCCTAATGCTTTATAATTTTGAGGTGAATTTTGTAACGAACTTTCAAGTCGAAAAATATGCTGTGGTCTTGAATTATCTGGAACAGATATGTGATATAACTGAGCCGACTTAACACTTTGGACATTTGACTGTGATGTTCTGTAATAGAAAAAATAAAGAATATATTTGTACATATATAGATAATAACAACTAATTATTTTAATATTTAGTTAAAATTTCAATGTTTGGGTAAATTTGAGACTTTACGTAATGTTATGACTTTATCTGATATCAGTTAATTGTAAAATTCATGAACTTCATTACACAACCCACAGGAAAACAGCCTTGATTATTTGAAAGTAGTTTTGTACACTGACTCATAATCAATCGATTGTAAAACATAAGCAAGCTTTAATTGACAATTATCGCAGTTGAGTTTTATTTATCAATTTAACAGATAATCTACAAATGTATCATTTGATAAATGCTAAGGAGTCCCATCCAGCGCTTCCAAGTATTCAAATGATGATTGAACATCGATCGGTTTATTATCTCAATAAAATCTCAAAACTTTTCACAACCCTATATTGATAATTCGATAAACTGTTGAGTTTCTTGTTGTTTAGATGATGAGCCTCCTCTGATATACCAACTACTTGTGTCATAGTTTATATTTGAATGTCCTACACGGGAAGGGAAGGGACTGTAAGCAAAAGTGTTATTTTAATATGACTTCGTGTCATGGTTGTTTAAATGTTTTGGGTCTGCAGCTTAAACTTTCCGGTACTATTTTCTTCCTATAACTTATGAGCTATTTGACTGGATGTTAGTATTTATCTTAAACACTATTCATTTGGTTAATAGTTAAATCGTTATTAAAATCATTCGAATTACCTGTGAAGTTCTAAGTAAACTTAAGAACTGAATGACTAATTATAATTATCTTATAATACCATTTTTTATTTAACAAAGTCATCTAGTTCCTGCATTGCATTTGAAATGCATTAAAATGTGCCAAGTTATGAGTAAGATGCATTTGATGAGGTTGTGTTCTCTGAGCTAGCTATTTCAATCGCAGAGCTTTTATTGTTATTCTGAACAATATCTTCATGTATATTCAAACGAAGTTGGGACTGAAGATGTTCACCAGAATAAGTGCGTTAATACTATACAGTTAAGAAAAATAAAACCTCCGTTTAAGAATTTATTTGTCCTTAATAACTTTTTAACAATATTAAGGTTTATTCTAAACAATAGCGTTTTCATGTAAACTGTAAGTACATTAAAATCATTGAGAAAAATTAATATTAAGAGAATTATGAAACAGAAGTATTGTCATATAATTAACTTTGATTTTGGTATTAGGAATATTAGTATTATGATGAAAACTCAGAATTACTGGTGCGTACAGTGGATCTGATGAAGATGTGAAGGCGCGGATCGGCAAAGCAAAACCAACATATCTACAATTGTAGAATATCTGGAACTCAAAACAGCCATCTACAAGCCAACACCAAAGTTAGAATGTCAAGACAGTTCTACTGTATGAGGTGGAAACTTGAAGAACTGCGAAAGCCATCATCCACAAGATACAAGTGTTTATTAACAATTGCCTGAGTAAAATACTTAGGATCTGTTGGCCAAACACTATCAGCAACAACCTACCGTGAGAGAGAACAAACCGGATCCCAGCGGAGAAAGAAATCGGGGAGAGGAGCTGGAGGTTGATAGGACGCACATTGAGGAAAGCACCAAACTGCATCACAAGGCAAGCCCTCACATGGAATTCCCAAGGCCAAAGGAGAAGAGGACGACCAAAGAACATATTACGCCGATAAATGAAGACAGACATGAGAAGAATGAACAATAATTGGATAGAACTAGAAAGGAAGGCTCAGGACAAAATGGGTTGAAGAACGCTAGTCGGCAGCCTATGCTCCATTGGGGTTAACAGGCGTAAGTAATTGAGTAAGTAATGTTGAAAACTACTATATTTAGGCACCATCATATACTACTTATATAAGTATTATTAATAATAAAAATTGAATAATTTTGTAATATCTAATGACTTTTTAACATCGATAAAATCCTAATAGTTTTAGGGATATCAAAATTATTCAAGAACACTTTTGACTCTCTTTGTTGAAATAGTAGGAAAGTAAATTCTATTCATATGCAAATTGTATATATTGAAGACAGTATCAGTTATGGATAAAAAAACAAACATAATGTAATTTGTAAATGAATTTAGATATATACACAAACAGAACTAGCTAGTATTAACAAATACTTTCCTCGAGTATTTTTATCCTACTAGTGAAATTGTTAGATAGCTGTTTAGTCACACTAAATTATTTGTCTAATAAAACTGCATACAAAACCATTCAAATTATTGATTTTTTTCTAATAGTTGAGTTCATGAGTCAATTAAAGCTAGACCACCATAAAAAAACCTGGGAGCACTAGATGGCCGTTTCGTTCTTGTATAGGACTACTCAGGAGTGCGTATATACGACTCCGCCCTCGAAATTCTAATCCATGACCCATCAATCTCGTGCGCAAACGCTTAACCTCTATACCACTGAGCTGGTATTCGACGATGTCAGTGCCTAACTTCAACCAGTTCATGAAATTGTGCCACCGTCCACCAATGGAGTTCAGCCAGATCTGTTGTCGGCTTAGTGATCTAGAGGTTAAGTGTTCGCGCGCGAGATTGATGGGTCACGGGTTCAAATCCAGCGGGTGGGGTCGTATATGCGCATGACAAAGACGAAACAGCCGTCTAGTGCTCCCAGGCTTCCCATGGTGGTCTAGCTTTAATTGATTCATGAAGGCAACTATTAAAATTACTAAGAATCCCCACAAAACCCTCTTCTGATAATATTTTTTTCATTCAAATAAAAAATAACTAGACCATTTTTTACTTTATTTAAACATTTTTTCAGTTTTGAATCATTTAGAGTGTGAACAAATTTATTCGAGTACACTGATTGCAATAATCCAACTTAATACGTATTACATGAATTAAGAACAAGGAATTCTACAAAAAAGAAAGGAATAACAATCTGAAAATTATTCAAAATGACAAACTAAAGCGCTTAGGCAAATTATACTTAGTTTAATATTTGTTCATTTGCAGATAAATAACTGAAAGAATTGTGTGTGTGTGTGTGAGTGTATGTGTAAGATTGAGTTATTCACAGGTGAAATTTGATATTAAATTTGTTTTTATATGAAGGAAAAATAAACGCACAAGTTGAATGTTGAAATTGTTTCTGAATCGTCAATGTGCATGTAAGATGAATAATCATCAAATACATAATTGTAATGATAAAATATCCCAGAATAATTTCTATCAGGATGACGATGCATGTGAAATAAACAGGTTGTATAGAGAAAGGGTTCAATTATGTGTTTATGAACGGTTGTTAAGTGATTGCTAGTTGAATACTATCATTTCTTTTCAGTTTGTTCATATTATATATATATATATATATATATATATATATATATATATATATATATATATATATATATATATATAGCATCTCTAGAGTCAATCTATCTTTATGTGCTAAAACCATTCTGAAGTATTTTGGTCCTTTCAAAATTGATCATATGTCCTGTTTCTAATGCATGTGATGCTATCACCAAATTATTCTCAATTTTCTTTGAATCAACCAAGGATTTGAGAACATGTTTCAAACATTGTTTGTGTACCTTCAACCTGACATTCAATTGTCTAGAAGTTTCTCCTGTATAATCTGCATTAAAATCGTGACAGCTGACCTCATATATAACATTCTCTTATTCCTCCTTTAGAAACTGAAAAAAATGCTACGTGCTACGTATATGGGTTAATAAGAATGTTCATTAACAAGTGATTGGACCCTTTCTCTATACAACCTGTTTATTTCATATCCATCATTATTCTGACAAAAATTATTCTGGGATATTTTATCATTAAAATTATATATTTCATGATTCTTCATTTTACATGCACATCAATGATTCAGAAACACCTAATTTCAACTATGAATAACTCAATCTTACACATACACTTACACACACACACATACAATTCTTTCATTCATTTATCTTCACATTGTGAACTTTTCATATAATTCGCATATAACTGACTCATGTTATCCTATTTACTAAAGTCAACATCTGAATATGAACAGATAAACACAGTAAACCATTATACATATTGTATTAATAATTTTGATTATAACTCTGAAGATGTCCAGATAAGTTTATTGAATGAAACATTGGAACTATTTAAATTTTAATTATTAAACTGATGAAGTTTTTCATAAACAATCAATTTTCAAAACTTTAGTTTATTTTTTTCCTCTTTATTAAAAAGTCACTTATTTGTCCGGATATGTTATTTTAACAACAAACATATTACTACTTGTGTAAGTTAAAAACATGTAATCAATTTATTATTTGTAAAGTGTTCAATTGTTTTATGTTTAGATGAAAGAACATTGATTTAAATATTTTTTTTCATGTTTGTTTTTCTTCTTAGTAATCAAAATCTATTTAAACAATTATCATCGAATGATAAGAGTAACAATCAGGGTAGCAACATTTTTTTTTAAAAATCCTTCGAAAAAAGAAAAATCATTAAAATAAACTGTATTTTTTTATATTAAATGGTAATTCTTATTATTTCTTATAAGCAGAATATGCATAATTCACATTTCAAAAGTGTTATACTCCCATGAAAATGCTATTTACTTTTTTATATTCGTAAGATATATGAAAAGAAAAAAAAATGTTACAATCAGATTTTATGATGTTCAAATGAGAGAGAGAGAAAAAGAAAACGATTTAGAAATATCAGAAGGGGTTTTGTGGAGATTTTAGAAATTTCACTGGTTGAAATCATGAGTCAATTGAAATTAGACCACCATGGAAAACCTGGAAGCACCAGTAGGTCCCGGGTTCAAATCTCGAAGGAGGCGAGGTTGTGGATACGCACTGTTGAAGATTCCCATACTAGGACGAAACGGCTGTCCAGTGCTTCCAGGTTTTCCATGGTGGTCTAGCTTCAATTGACTCATGATTTCAACCAGTGAGATTTAGAAATCACCAAGAAAAATGTTCATACAAAAGAAAACATTTTTACGCATTAACAATCTATTCTTTAT